TTTAATGACAATGAAGTGACACTTTGACATTTCCTACCTTTTGAGGACTTGATCCTTCTCCAAGAAGAAGGTGCTTTCTGCTTACTGACTTAGGCAATACACCAAGGGCGAGATTTTATATGCACATTTCTGGATTTTTTATATGGTTTTCATTGACACTATTCCCTCCTCCCCCTGCAGAGAGGTCCCCCCTGCTGCCAGGCCTCACCAAAGCCAACTGCCACGGGGCCATCTGGGCCGTTCAGAGACCAAGTGAGATTTGGGAGGATGAGGGGCCAAGGTGGAGGGGCACCCCACCCAGGACTGTTTTTGAAAGCACCAGATTGAGAAAGAAGTGAGCCCTAGGGCTGCAGAATCACACGACTTTGCCCACTTCTCCACCCGCCCTCTGCCCCAGTCTGTCCAGTACTTTCTAGACAAATAGGCCCCTTCGAGGTTCCTGAGTGCCCTCGGATGGCCAGAACCCAGTTTCGCCTCTGGGAGCCTAGACTGGGCCCCAGATCATTCACTGTGATATCCCAGCCCTCCAGAGTGTCACCCTCAGAGATGTGTGCAGGCGCTCCTTCCCTCCACTGGGGGGAAAGCGTATGGTTTCTCTCCCAGCCCCTCCCCCCACCCCCAGCCCAGACCTTCACCCAGGTCTGAAGGTCTTGGCCGTGGGAAAACCATCAGCCACGAGGTCTGGCTACAAACTCCCTCCTGTGAGCAAATGCAGGCACTTGAGCAGAACAATCGGTTAGTGAACTGAATGGAAATAAACACTTTAGTTATAAAATGACCCCTGTTCTCTGTAAGTTCCAAGAGAGACTCTGGCACCCTGGGGCATGTCAAGTGACCCATGGTGCTCTTTTAAGGGATGCTTCCTTCCCCGGGGTTCTAGAAGGCCCAGGGCTGAGAAAACACATGGAGGACACCAAAGGTCCACGTGGCCTTTGCGGCTCGGGCTTGTCAAAAGCACGGGCAACAGAAGAAGCAAGTTGGAAGTGGCTCGGAATTCACGTTCAATGCCCTGCAAATCAGGATGAGCCGCTCCGGGAGGCATCGGGAGCAGGAGGTTGACAGGGGTGCACTCGGTTCTCCTGGGCCAAAGGAAGGGGGTCCGGGTGTCAGGTAAGCTGTGATAGTGGTAGTGCGAGGGTCCTGGAGTAGCCACGCGTCCCCCGTCAAAGCCACAGGTAAGATCCCCTTATCCTGGTCAACACCAATCTCTGTGCAGTTGGGCTCCTATTTACATGTAATCAGAAATCTTTCTGTGGAAGGAGGAGGCAGGGAGGCGGGTGTGCTGTGGATATCAAGTCTGGCTGAGGAGGGAGAGGCAGAGACACCACATCTCAGGACCTTCCCCTTTGTCCATGGGAGACTGACCAGGAGGAGGGATCCCAGCCGCAGGTGGCCCATGGGGCAGCCTGGCCCAGCCTGTCGTCTGTCACTCACCTGTTCTCAGAGCCCGAGATGTAAAGGGAAGGAAGGGATTAAGAGGGGAGCATGGGCCCCTGGGGGGAACAACAGAGTGAGCCACAGGGAAGGCATTGGCTTGCTGCCCACGAACTGGCCAGCCTTGGCCCAGCCAGCTGCCCTTTGTGCCCCAAAGCTGCCCAGCACGGGTGGCAGCTGTCCTAACACACAAGGTCACCTTCTGGAGGGAGCTGCCTTGATGCTCTTCAGATTAACTCCGTCTCCCCAGCCCGCCCCCCACTACTCTGGGGCCCCACACAGGGCTGGCACTCAGTGCTTCCTGTCAGATGGCTTCCTGTCCTAAGCTGCTAGGCTGGTGCCTGCTCGCCAACTCATTTGCCCATCCACCCTTGAGTGCCGAGTCTTAAGGGGTCCTGGGCCCCCCTGTGCCTGCTTCTCAGAGTGAGGATGCCACCCAGACCCTCTGTGTCCCCACTTCAGGGTAACAGGTATCACTGTGACTGCCTCGGGTGTGGGCAGAAGCCCACCTCTCCCTGCTGCTGGGGCAGCTCTGTCCCCACCACCTCTTGCTTGCTTCTCGGCGGGGAGCAGCAGGCCATTCTGCCAAGCGCCTTCCGCTGATAATACCCACTCGCCTGGGCACACGGCTCCGAGCCTCCCGCTGCCTGGTTACTAATCCTTTCCTGGCTCAACCTCCCCAAGTGCCAGCCCCCACCTGCCCCGCAGTGTCAGAGGACTTTCCGGCTGCTCTGCACACAGTTGGTACTGGAGGAAAGAAAGCCGCCTTGTAAACACGGGCCAGGGCACCATGGAAATGGGGACCAGCTGCTCTCGGAGGGTGTGACAAGCAGACGTGTGTAGGGCCAGGCTGGTACTCCTACTCCACTCCTACTGCCCCAGAAGCCCCCAGAATGGGTTGTTGTTGATCAGCAGGTCTCTTCCTGGGGGATGATATTCAAAATTCCTATCAACTGGTAAAATGTGGACGGATCAATCAGAATAGATGATGGCCTTCGTGCTAGACCAAAAGGCCTCAGAGTAGGGGCTGGGATGTGAGGGCAGTCGGGGACACTTAAGGGACTGGGGCAGTGCTGTTTACTAACCAGTGGTGCCTCCTGCTCAGATGGCATCAGCTGGACTTTGTCCATCATTTCTGGTTGGTCCCCATGCTGCCACCTCTCAGGGAGCTCTCTGCTACCCCCTTGTGTGCAGTCACTAGCCTTGCACCCTCTCAAATCGGGGGCTCATCCCAGAAGACAGGGAGCTCCCAACCGTGCCCAGCCAGCCCTTCCTCTGCCTGGCAGAAGCACAGGAAGGACCCAGGATCCAGACCACCACCCACCCCAGTGCTAGCCCTCGGGCACTCCTGGCTCTCTCCTGGGCCCCCGGGGTTCCAAGATGGTACTAAAAGGCTGGAAGACTCTTGCCAAATAGGGTAAATGCATTCAAAGGACAGGATGCCCCATGATGCTAGGGGAAACACACCCTGACCCCAGAGTGGCAGCCTCGGTCCTATGACTAACTGGAGACATGAATCTGGATAAGTCATTTGCCTTCACTGAACCTCAGTCTCCCATCTGTAAAGTGAGAAGATGGGACTGGGCGAGCCAGGCATGCGAAACACTTTCTACGCCACCATCCTGTGAGGAGGGACTATTTTCTCCCATAGGTGGACGGGGGGGGGGAGGGGAGACTGAGGCTCAGAGAGGGGAAGTAGCTTCCTCAGGATTACACAGCCAGGAAGGGACAGAGCAGGGCTGTGGTCATCTGTTCCCAATGCCCACCCCACCACACTCGGGTGACATGAAGCACACTGTCAGTGTCTGATGACGCTGGTTGGTAAGAGAAGAGAATGCTCAAACCACTGGGGTTGTCAGGGAGGACTTCGTGGAGGAGGCTGTCTTGAAAATGACAGAGGTTGAGAGGAAGGTCACTCCAGGTGGGAGGTACAGTATAACCAGAGATGCAGAGGCCAGAATTGTCCAGCCATGAGGAGTCAGGTCTGGATGAGCCAAAGGAGTGGTGGGAGGTGGGGGTTGACCGAAGAGGAAGGTGAAGTAGCTTGAGCGTGATGCCCAGTCCAGCCACAGCAGGGTCTTGAGCAGAAGAGCAGCAGAAGGAGCATTGGGTTCTAGCAGAAAGAGTCCGTCCAGCCATCAGATGGATGGCAGGATGCCTCATAGCTCCCCCTCTCCTCCTGGAGGAAGAGCCCCCTGGAAAAGCCCTCATTTCTTCCAGGAGAATCCAAGCCCTGCTGCTTCATTGTCCATCCTCACTCACTGAGGCAGATAATCCAAAGAGTCATTTCAGCTGCTTGGAACAGCAGGGTGGGTTTTGTGCTACCTGGTTCCTAATTCAGCTGCACTCACTTGACCCTCACCCCATTTCCGCCAGGCCCCGCTGAGAGCTGCCGGGCACTGAGGGAGCTGCCACTCGGGACCAGAGTTGCGTGGCTGCGGATGGCGGTGGTGGCGTGGGAAGGCAGGCCAGCATGCTGGCAGAGCCCTGGGGGCACAGAGCAGAGTGCAGGGGCTCGGGCTTGGGTGGGTGGCTCGCACACTGCCCAAGGAAGCCTGTCTCTGCCCCGGGAGGCCTGGCCCTGCCGAGATTGCCCAGACGCGTTGGAAGGGTCTGTCTGGGGTCCTGCCGTTTTCAGTAGCGTGTTGTGCTGGGGAAACCCAGAAAGAAGTTGGGGAGCCACACTGCACACGCCTATACCACTGGCTGGCCTTGACAGACTCCCATGAAATGGCTCCTGCCATATAATTTAGCATGAAGAATGACCTTGGAGCTGGCCAGTTTCCCCTTCAGGGAAACCAAAGACAGTGACTTGTCCTTTGTTCTGGGACACAGGAAGGCTCAGGGATGCTGCCCTGGGAGGCTCACCTCAGGAGGCTGATGCCACGGGCAGGGTACTAATTGCTGGTACACTGTGTGGGGCTCTTACTGGTGTTATCATCCCCTCTCTGCTGGTGAGGAAAGCGATTCCCAGAGGTGATTCCCAGACCATCCCAAGCAAGCCATCTGCCTTTAGTGTTCCCTCCTTCCTGCCTCATAGGATCTTTCAAAACTTTTGCCATCAGCCACCTGTATTAGAATCTTCTGGGCCGTTCATCTTGCAGATTCCTGGGCTGCACCATGACCCCGTAAGTCAGAACCCCTGAGGCCAGCCTCTATTTTTAATAAACTCCTCTAGGAGACTTCTCCAGACACTGAAATCTCTTCACTTCCCCCACAATGACCTATGCCCTGATGTCTGCAGGGAGGGAGGTTCTGGCGTAGACAGGGATTAGGAAAAAGCAAGACATCGTCAGATAAGATGCCCCAACTCAGACATGGATTAGGACCCATGAAGTGGGGGCTGAGCTGACCCTCAGGAATGTGTTCAGACTGAGCTAAGCTTTCAGGAAAATTAGAAAGACCCCCAGACCCAGAGTCTGTCTGAGTTTAGCTCCACAGCATGAAGGCTGCCTCAGGAAAGCTGATACAGCAAGAAGAAACAGGAATTTAATACTTCACAGGGGCCCAGCAGCCCACCCGGGCCACCCTATGGAGACCCCCACAGATCCCAAGGCTACAATCCAGGCCTGTTCATTCAACACCTGGCCAGGTGGGCCAGGCAAAGTCAGGATGGGTCTTCTAGCTGGGCCCAGAGCATCACATATGCAGCCCCCAACAACCTCTGCTACCCAGACTAAAACATGGCTTTCCCTGGAGGGAGAAGAGGGAGTAAAGGACCCTGTCTCTACTCAGGGTTTAACAGCCCCTGCTGGAGGAGGGGAACGGGAGAGGGAGGAGGTAAGAGCCAGGACCACATGCACTCTGGGGGCCCCCGCCGAGACTGTAAAAGTCCAATCTAACATCCCGCGGAGAAAAGATTCCAAGATTCTAAGATTGCAAGCCCCGTGATTCTAAGATTCTAACAGAAGAATTTCATGTTTTTAAGATTCCATCACCCTATGATTCTACGCTGATAGTTCTTAAAATTTCAAGTCCCATCGTTCATCCTCGGTCCTTAAACCGGAGTGCCCTAGCCGTGACGAGAGCGCAAAGAGAGAGAGACATGGGGAGAAAAACAGCTAATATCAAATATTAGCAACAGCTCCATTCTCTGAGTCAGAGATGGACCCTCGCAAGGGCCCAGGACCCTCCTTTTGAGTGTGACGCTGACTCCCTTTCCTGGGTAAGTGGCAGAATTGCCCACACCTGGCCCTCCCAGTGGCCAGTGGGATGGTGCCCCAGCTGAGCAAAGCCCTCACACAGGCCACAGTGCCTACCAGCTTGTGGGCAAGACAGTCTAACTCAGAAGCCAAGTAGGGGCCTCAGTGGCTCCATCTGGGAGGGGACTTACTTATTTGGGGTAGAACATCCCCCTCCCCACCAGAGAGGAAGGTCCAAGGCAAAGAATTGGCTTAGGAAACTGCCCAAGCGCCCCACCTTGCTGTTCAGAGCCAGAGTCTCAACACTGGGCAACCAGAGGGTCTTACTACAAACCCCAGAACCAGGTGCCTTTCCACTGACACTTGGGCTGCAGTGTCCATGGCTACACAGCCCCTGCCTGATGCCAAGGACCCTTCACCCTTTCCGTTGAGGCCACTGCCTGTGGGATCTGGAAGGCCAAGGAGGCGCCTCTGGATTGGTCGGAACGAGTGGTCAGTCTGGCTGCCCTCCCTTCCATGGACAGGGATTCTGCTGAGCAGGGGGCACAAAGCCGAGTCCCTGAGGCCGGCCCAGGGCAGGCCTGGCAGGGACACTTCCTGACAACCAGCCTCTTTGGACTCCAGAGAAGAGTAATTACTGGTTGATCATGCCCAGCCCCAAATCCTAATCATAGCTGCTATTTCTTGAGTGCCAACGATGTGCCAGGAAATGCACTTAACTTTTTATACACATTGTCTCGCTTCACCCTCACACAGCTCTGTGAGACAGGTACAATCAGAATTCCCATCCCAGAGACTAGGAACCTCAGAGACGTGTATGGTGGCTTTCCCAGGTCACAGAGCCAGCCAGTGGTCTCTGACCCCAGGATCTGCCCTCATCAACACTATGCTATGCTGCTACCAGTGGCCCCTACTCAGCCCCACCCCCTGTCAGACCCTTTGCCAATCAAATCCAGATCTCTGTGGGGGAACTCTGTTCAGGGCACATTTTCTTTGACCATGGCCTCCTGGAGCCACTGTCAGAGCCATGGGCGGTGGAAGTGAGCATTTGGACTCCTCCCTCCACAACCCAGGTGTCCATTCCAGCCTGGGCCATGCAGGCCAGAGCTCTCAACCAGGGACCAGGGGGTCTGGCAGGGTTTCACTGAACCCTATTCCCTTTGGTCGTGAACATGGGTTTTCCTGACAATGCTGGGGTGTTGGGAAGTGATGCGGCTGGGGTTCCGATGGCTGTGGGTCAGACCTAGCTCCTCCCCACTGCTATGACCAAGGAAATCTCACCAGCTATGTCCATGAGCAACCCTGATCCTGTTACTCCAATGCCTTTGTAGGAGTATTTTTAGCAGAACTTTTTTTTCCAAAATAAATGTGAATTGTAAAAATTATTGCTCTGACTCATGGCTTGTTCGTTTGTTTGTTTCTTTGTTTGTTTTCCCACTGAGGTTTCCCAGGGAACAAATGGGCACCCCTAAATGTTCTTAGCAGAGTTTTGAAGCATGGCTAGGAGTTTTCCAGGGCTTAGAATGGAGCCGGGGCTAGGCCTAGAATTGGGGTTGGGGTGGGGATTTGTCCTGGGCTGGAGTAGGGTGTTGAACTGGAACACTACGAAGAACACTCAGTCCTGTTTAAGATTCCCATGTCTCCATCAGGGATCCTAGCCTTGGAATCGCAACTCTGCCATTTGTTAGCTATGTGTCCTTGGAGAGGTCGTATAACTGCTCTGAGCCTCATTTTCATGTCTGTAAAATGGGGCAATAAAACCAATCACCTAGAGTGTAGTGAGGATTATATGGCAGAGCCTTAAATATGTGAAAAGGGCTCGTCTAGAAAGCTGTTATCATTTGCAGCCTTTCCCATGCTGGAAAGAGCATTTCATGGAACCAGTGTTCCTGGGAGCAGACTTGGAGAACCAGTGCTTGGGTAATGCTCTGGGAATTAGAGGTAGAGCAGGACTGAGGCTGAAGTCAGGCCTGGGAACGCGATGGGGTCGAAGTCAAAGGGAATGGGATCTAGGAGGTTGTCTTTTGATTCATTCATTCAATACTCATTTATTCAATCAAAAATTACTTACTGTATTCCTAGTACATGAAATGTGCTGTATTAGATACCTGGGGGAAACATAAATGACCCAATGTGCATCCTGCCCTGGAGAGCTCATCAGGACATTTGGTTGACTTCACTGCACATGAATTGGGCACCCATAGAGTGCCAGACATGAGGCTGGTACTAGGAATGCTGTAGTGACTTAGACATGTGCCCTCCCTCATGGAAGTCCCCAGTCAGTGGAGGAAACCAGTAGGCACTCAGGTTATTACAACTCAGGGCAACGCGTGCAACAGTCAAAGTGCCTGTAGATTCCAGGAAAGGTGCCATTAATCCTGAATGGGAGCCCCTAGGGGTCCTGACTGGGGTTCTAAAGCATGCCTGGGAGTTCTCCTGGAAGCTAAGGATAAAGTGTTCCATGTAGAGGCAACAGCAGATACAAAGGTATGAAGTCAACATTGATATATTTTGTGAATTACTATGTAAGTAATATAAATAGAAACGTGACTACCATGTTAAAAACTAATAAATGATTCTTTATACCAGTTTGTACATACAGACCTCTGGGCTGCCAGCCCCTCTCAGGGCTTAGGGTACTGGGTGGAGGAGACTCTGAGAGCTCACAGTGAGGCCAATTGGGTCACATACCACCTGCGGGCACACAGCACAGTTAGAGCCCAGTGTGCAAACTTAAGACCTTCCTTAGACATCCTGGGGCCTCTGACTCAATGCCAGAGACAGCTTCTGTCTGTCCCAGCCCAGTTCCTCTGAGAAGTATGAATCCCTTACTAGTTCCACTGGTGAGCCCAGGCCCTGGTCCACACCAGGCTCCCCCTAGATCCAGCACAATCTCATGGAGAGTTGCCCCAGCTCAG